GTAACTTGATACAGAACTGTTTCGGGCTTATTTGCCTTCATTCAGCCAAGCACAACCCTGAACACCAGCTGGGTCATATAAAAACAAACATACGCACTCACAGACGGCGCAGCTGTGTCACCGCTGGGGTCTACCAGCTGCGCCGTCTGTGAGTGCGTATGTTTGTTTTGTCCGACCCAGCTGGTGTTCAGGGTCATGCTTTAAACTCACCGTACCTTTCGACCGGTTAGAAGAAGTCTTAAGGTAGCTGGTTCTGGTGCAAGGAGCATTTAAGTTGCAGATAAAACCTACGCTAGAATGATTCACTATTCCAAAATGTTTCAGTGTGACGAATAAATAAAATACGGCATCCGATTTCAAGAGTGTCTCACTCACCTGGAGATGTATGACCCGACTGTTTACCTCTGTTTTTGTCAGGCGCCTTGGGAACAAACTCGGCCGAATTGCGCCAAAGAGTTTGTGTCAAAACAACATTCAAAACTGCCCTTGTGATTGTGCCTCGCGTCTGTGCAAAAGAAAATGCAGAGGTATGGAAATTTGCACAATATGTGACTTGAGTAGTAATTTACAAGATCAAAGGTCACTCAAAAAGTTAATGTTGGGTTAAAGAACGTATCAAGCCTGTACATCCTTCCTGCTTTCAGCATAGATGGTTAAAACGTCATTTAATTGGGCTCTAACGATTCTCTACCACAGCCGATGGAACGTAGGCCTGCAGAACAGACTGGAGTACAGACAAACACTGCCGACAGAGATAAAGAAGACGATAATGGCCATTTTTGGCTCATCAGCCATCCTCAGCCAACAACGTCCAATCCCGGATGCCGTACCACCAAATATCTAACCCGTGATCTGTTGATCAGACGTCCAATGCTCTACATCTCGAGCCACAAGCTCAGTATCTGGCCGGTTCAGATTGGGAATAGAGAGGTTCGTGGACGAACGCTCAACGATCGTTACCGGATCGCTAACGGATCCCTATCGGTCTGTTTTGGGGCTCACTTTTGAGCCCTGCCAGCAATTAGTGGTTTTTGGTTTATTTCCGTTTATTTAGTGAAGGTAATAGGCAATGCCTTTGAGAACCCTATTGATCCTATCGGCAAGAGAGTATTCCGGCTGAAAAACCCCTTTCGGGAGTGCTTAAATTGAAAACGCCTAGACAGTAGAAGTTTTTCTTCCCCGTCGCTGCTTTGGACGATTTTAAGTGGCCCTAATCAGAGACGGGGAAGCAAAACTTCTACTGTCCAGGCGTTCTTGATTAAGGAACTTCCGAAAGGGTGTGTTTTTCAGCCGGATTTCTCTCCTGCCGACAGGAGAAACGCCACCAATTTGCTCTAGAATTGAGGGAACGGTGATTCAAATGAGAACAGAACCTAGTGATTTACAAGGACCAGATAGTCGAACGACATTCTGCTCCCTCCTGGATCAAACCGATTCCAATGACTGCGCAGCTACTCCAGTAGACTGCGTCGGGGTCAAATACGGTACGCGCAAGAGCTCAAAGCTGACATTTATGTATACTAAAGAGCAAAGCATAGTTTTTAAAATGGATGAACTGAGAATCAACGCAACCAACCTCCTTCCAAATGTTAGTTCGATAACAGAAACATGATTGTCGGACCAGATGGACAATCGAGAACTTGGAATACCTGGTTTTCAACTGTTCCGCAAAGACAGAGACAACCGCAAAAGTGGAGGCGAAGCAACCTTCATGAAGAACAGTTTGCATGCTTCCGAAAAACCGGCGAATCTGTCTTGTTCGGAAGCGGTATGGTTGACTGTAAAAGCAACGGGTTCCCAAAGCCTCGATATATTAACTTTCTACCGACCACCAAGGAACGATCCTGAAGCTAATGCCCTATTCCTGGATGAGCTTAAAGCCCTCGTTACGCGATCAAATACCCTTATTGTTGGGGAATTTAATGCCTTTACTATCAACTAGAGCTCCTCCTCAACTGATTGCCCTGAATTGGCATGTGACCACCAGCTCCTAAATATAACTCAATCCCTGCTTCTCACCCAACAAGTCACATTTCACACAAGAATTCATGAGGGCCAGCGGATGAACTGCTTCGACCTTGTGTTCACTAAGTCACTTGACAATATTGACATCATGAATTGCTTACCCCCCTAGGCCAGAGTGACCATGTAGTTCTCATGCGGGAATAGAGTTTATTTTCTTTGCCCGCCCCACCGCAATACCTCGGACAAAATATTTGGCGTGGCGATTTCAAGCAAATGAACCATGATCTCTGTTTCATCGACTGGGCATCAACACTCTCCGACACCGTTGAAGAAGCTTGGGAACAGTTCAAAGGGATAGTCCATAACCTCATCTCTAGTCACTGTCCAATCACACGCGGAAAACTTACGAACAGACCTAGCTGGTGACTCCGCCTTTAAAAACGGAAGTTACCAAGAAGAGAAAACTATGGAAAAAGTCCCTAATTGATAGGTCACCTAAATCTCTCAATAGTTATAAAATGCAGTAGAACCGGGCCAATGGTCTCATTGTCAGTGATCGACAGATGTTCGAAGAGGATCTGTTAAGCCGTGCCATGGTTAATCCCAAAATCCTTTACAGTTATATTAGATAAAGCACGCAGAACAGGGATCCTATCCCCCTACTGCGAACTGTTGAAGGTGCCGAAATCGCAGAGGACGAGGATAAAGCTGACTACCTCTCTCAATTCTTCCGGTCAATCGAGACGACTGAACCCGGTTTTTATCTCAGACTAATGAAGACGATTCGATTCTATTGATTGATACAGTCCCCTTCACCAAATATATAATTAGGACTGAGCTTCTAATTTTTAAAGCATCGACCTCCCCAGGCCCCGATGCAATCCCGGCCAAGCTGTTGAAGGAGCTAGTTACTGAAATGGCCAAGCCGCTAGCCTTAATCTTCCAGGCGTCATTTGTTACTAGGTGCCTACCATCTGGTTGGAAGACGGCGACGATCACTCCCCTTTTCAAGCGTGGAAGCCAAGCGTCCGCAAATAATTACGGGCTGGTGAGCCTTACCTCCATTTGTTGCAAAACCATGGAAAAATCATTAAGGAGGCGTTGATGCAGTTCCTCGAGCAGAATCACTTTTCAGATGTCCAACGCGGTTTTCGCAGAGGTAGGTCCTGTCTTACGAAGCTGCTCTTCTCACTTGATCGCTGGACCAAAGCACGTGAAGAGGGGTAAATAGTGCACGCGATCTACATTGACTTCAAAAAGGCGCTCGACAATGTCCCTCATCAACGCATGCTGCATGAGCTGCGCAGCATAGGCGTTCGCGGGACCCTCTTCCTATGGATTCAAAACCTTTTGACAGGACGGTCCCAAAGAGTACAAATCGGTCGCCAGCAGTCCTTGGGGTTGCCTGTGGTGAGTGGCGTCCCACAGGGCTCAGTTTTAGGTCCCACATTATTCCTTCTTTTCATCAACCACTGTGTCAGGGATCTAGACTGTAATGTCACCTTATTCGCTGATGACACTAAATTCTAGAAAGTCGTCCAAAATACGGCAAATGAAAACTATTTGCAAGCTAGATTGAACAGAGTGGAAGACTGGTCAAAGCATTGCCTTATGCCTTTCAATATTAGTAAATGCAACTTTCTCCAAATCGACAGTTGTAGAGCAACCAGCACGAAGTTCTATTCCTTAAATGGTACACCGCTGCAACAAGTTGAGAGTCAGACGGGCTTGGGTGTGTGGATTACTTCTTCACTCAAACCAACGCTGAACTGTACGAAGACGGCGAAGTCGGCCAGATCGATATTACAGCTGATTACATGAGCCTTTATGGGGTTTGAAAAAGACAAC